ACACCGAGAGAATATCGTCGTATAGCTCGAGCAGTTGGACTCATGATCGATATTAGGGTTAATATTTTGTCGTCTTATTCCAGGATCTTTATTTCATTTTTTTACATATTCATTTTTGAGTGAAATAGTCTCATTCTATTGGATTATGGCTTAGAAATCCAACGGATTAGAAAAATGTCATGTGATGTTCACTTCGTTAAATTAGCTTTATCTTCATCTTTAGGTTTCATCTAAGAAATGCTCATTTGATGATCATTTTGCCGTGCATATATTTCATGTCGAATGAGGCATCGTTAATCGATGTCATTTTAATGAATCATTCAAAGAACTTCAACCTTCAACTCTTTAGTTTTGTTGTTTGAATGCTTGATCGTTGTTTCCATCGTGTTGCTCATTTCAGTCAGGAATGGCACGTACCGCCTACTACGGAATTGTGTCGTTCATGTTGGGATCAAGTCGTGTTTATGCTATATCTGCACACGTTTACGCAGATCCGAACTTCTTATCACGACCAAGTTCGGATTTTTACACGGAGGATTGGGACAAGATGAGCAGATATCTCGACTTCCAGGAAACTTATTGCAAGCCTGGCAAGTGAGTGTGACCTGAATTTTCAATTTTATGAATGTCGTTCAAGTTTTGAAATTGATCGAGATCTGTTTCGATATCATCGAAACTGCAGTCAAATGCATAGCACTTAAATGCAGTAATCATGTTTTTTGTGTAGTTCTCCACTTAATGGTTCCCTTAATGTGTAGGTGATATGAACTGAAATTTTAACCGTGAATTTATTTGCATGTAAGCGTTGATTATAATCTTATTGTATATTTTTAATTTGATAAACGCTGTTAAAGGTTTACGGGTGATTGCGATCCAAATAATCCGAAATTAAAAGAATGGTTTGCAAAGAAACGATTAACAAAGAGACTCCAATCATGGGGTGAGATGATTGTCAATTAATGAGCACATTCACACGTGGGTCGTCTCATTCGAGTAAGTTCCTTGCAGAATTTCAATTCACGAACTGAATTTACTTTTTTATGATGAGGTTGTTTCAGGTTTTCTTTAAAAAAGAACTTTGGTTTATTTTTTACCATTATTGACATTTTTATTCATTATCTTACCATTGTAGACATAATTATTGTGAGGTTTTATGATTGCAGTTTTTGTTGTCATATACTCTGAGTCATGTTGGGTATTGTAGCCGTTCTCGAAGTGTTCAACGTCGATACAAATGTGACTCGTCGAGAAGTGTATCAACTAGTACAATTATTTCATCCATCGCAGAAGTTATGTATTTATTTATTTATCATATTTCATTTGGAGTTGTCAGCTCTGTCTTCCACGAATCATTTCTTACGATTATATTCTTTACTTTTTCAGTTTGTGTCATGTGATTGTTATGGTAACTTCTTCCACAGTTGTTTGTTATATCACTGTTGATCGTTATATTTCAAATAATTTCTCAAATCCTGGGGTGTTTCTCGTTATCTTTTTCCTGTTGAACATAGGGAAGGGATATCTGGAAAATACGCTTTCATCATGTGTTTTGTCACTCAAAATTTGCTCATATGTAGTGTTATTGAATTGTTAATGAGATTACTTAGCACATTCGAATTCGATTTCATTCCGGTACTTCGTGAGATTTCCAACGTTAAATTTATCGTTTGGATCGACGTATTGTTCTTACAGTCAGTCGTATCTCACAGTGTTGTTTAATTATTTCTGCATTACTTTGTTATTGTTATTCATTTGTTGCGTTTTCTCTTGGAATCGATGAATCATGTCTGTCTAGTTTTTGAATGTAGTCTTCTTGTTACTACTTTGATGTTTAATTCNTGATCAAATCCATAACGGTGAGTTTATTTTATTCCGTTTGAGTTTGCGGGTTTATTTATGATTTTATTGGAACATTTGTGTTGAAGAATTTATGTTGGTTGATATTTCCATTCGCAAAATGATGAAAGTGCTATGTGATGATATCGCTGCGCTATTTCTGTTCATCACCATCGCTCTGAGGAGATAAAATTAATTCTGAATGTTTGCATAGATTCAGAAGATTAGATAGTATAATTGCTATGAATGTAGCGATTCGACTGTTTGCATTTATTGAAGTAAGCTTATAGATGGCGGTGATAGAGATACATTATGAGGTAATCGGATTGTTGTTGTTGAGAGTTGTAACTGAAATATGCTAAAATCATTTGTTAGTTACGTTGATTGTTCTGTGGCAATTCGCTGAAACAGGGCCCTTTATGTGTGAGTGAATTAATGCTATTGACAAATGAATGATGTTAATGGCTAATGTTTAACTGCTTTCCACAGTTTTTCCCTTCCATTCGTATTTGCATTCGTTGTGTTACCGATCGTATTCCTTGAATAATGACCGTATATGTTCCTTCTACCTTTTCTTGAACTGAAATAAACTTCTTGTTCTGAAACTATCACATTTCGATGCCATTATATCATGATGTATAACCATAATTATATGCAATCTAAAAATTTCTTGTTGTTCTGTTTCTTCTGTGATTTCTGATTCCGGTTGATCTGTGCGTCTTTTAACCATTTTTCATCATTGTGTCACATACTGGCGTATAACGTCTTATTTCTGTAATATAGCTATCGATTTGAATTGTTTCGTGTGCCATCTTCCGTAATTTTACATCACCATCGGTTGAGTTCTGTGTTTACAAACGGTGTAAGATGAGCGTTTCCATTGGTTCGAACGAGAACTGAAATCACTTCCCCAGCGAATAGATGTGAAATCTGATAGATTCTTCATGGATCTTTATTCGGTGTCAGAGCGAGGTGCTTATGTACGTGACACGTTGTTTTATCACGGTTGAGTGTAATCAGTAATTTGATGTCGTTTTTGATTAGTTCCCTCGGTGCTAAATTTGTTCACTGTGCAGTATTTGCGAAGAGAGCAGACTTATTTGATTGTTTGTTGAACTGGACCGTCGCAATCAACGTCGAGAACACAAGTTTCAGCAATGGTATATCCGGTGCTAAGGATGAACGCCGCAAGACGAGCGCATTACGCGAAAGCTTCTTGTTATCTGCATTCGTTATGCATTCTATTGATATGCTCTGCAACAATGCACTTATTTGTCGTTTCAATTTATTTAATGTTAGTGTTTGCTTTGCATTAGATGTGCTTTAACGCATGTCGTATGTCACCATGATCGTGATGTGATCTCTGTTCAGTGGTCTATGATGAATGTAATGAGTGTAATTCCAAAAAATTTCCGGTCTTATAAGAGAGGATAGGGTAGTGATTGATGAAAACAGTCATTGATGAAAAAGACGAAAATTCAAATGAATGTTTCATCAGTTCGGCCTTTAGACTAATAACTGAATGAAAGGTTTCAGTGATGGAGTCGCTCAACAGATGAGTACTCGAAGTGTGTTTGGTTATGTTCCATTCTTGAATACATTGCTGCAAATTGCCGTCACCATTGCACACCTTTACGTCGCATTTTTGCTGGTCGAACGACAATATAACAATCAAATTGTCTACAAATTTTGTGGCATTTTGGTATTTGCGATTAATCAGATAACTGTTAGACAACTGAGCAAAACACTTATTGATTCCAGTGTTGAGCAGTTGTGAGGAAGAAGAAAAATGACCATTGCTGATAATGCAATCATGATGAGTTTATCAATCAAAACATGATACAGTGCTCAAAATTAGATTATATTAATGTTTTCTTGATAATTTGTTCTGAAAAGCCAATCAGCAGTAACACGTTTGACACGTATTCCTTTCGGAATATTGCGTTTGCCATTTGTTTTGATGGGTGTTGAGGCAATATTTGACGAATTTCACTTCAAAGCAAACGAACACATTTCCAAAGAATTCAGTGAAGACTTTAAGGATCCGATGGAAATTTTATCAATATCTTTTGCATGTATGGTGCTTATTGCAATCATTAATATCTGTTACTTAAGCGCGTTCGAGGAAAGTCTATCAGTGGCTATTTCACAGGTAAACGGTCATTATATGTGCACCTGTTCAACGATTTTGATCTGTTAAGAACATCGATATGCAGTCAGCAGATTCGAATCGTGCTAAGTTTTATTTAGGAGATGAAATGCCCAAATATATGATATAGAATAAGAATAAATCATATTTAGATAATTCTTTCAATTATTGGTGCCACTTAATTCCGCTGGTATTGTTGAAAATTGTTCATTCATTCACACTGAAACCGTTATACTGTCCAGATAGCAATCACTGCTTTGAAACAGAACACCAGCATAGAACAAAACGTTACGAAGGTCAATAACTGCAATAACCGCAAAACACTGTAAAACATCTCATAAAGATATAACTCCGTGACTATTTTATCAATACGTCTAGGCGATGAGGAATTACCATAAGAAATCCGCGTATAAAAGTATTGTCGACCGGATACAAATCACATTCAAATGTTGTGGTATCAATGGGTATACTGATTGGATGCAGCGGAATTTAAGCAGTCGCATCTTATCTAAAATGTTGGTTATTCTTTTCAATTTGGGTTTGAACTTTCTGGAGGCGATCTCATTTGGCATCGCATTTATCGGATTGCTTATCTCTCACGAATTCATCTGATCTTTTGATATGCAATGTTTTCTAATCAACCGAGACTCTACTAAAATAACTTTTCAAACCCCAAAAAACAGCCAATTGCATGCCAGTGCCTTTACTTTGTAAAGATTCCAGTCTTCTGCCATAACAATAAAGAAATTGCGATAAACTCAAGCCGATTAGCAATTGTCAATGATGATAACAAGTTGATTTGATCTAAAAACTCGACCGAGAATTGTTTTGATCGCAAACAAATCGGAAAACATTGCAATTGCTTATGAAAGTTTGAACATTGAAAGTTCGAAATTATTTCAGAGGACGTTCAGTCGCATCAAGTGATATTACTGCTGATTGGTCACATTGCACAGATAAAAACTGCTTCATACCTCCATCTTGCTGTCAATTGAATCAAATTAAGTGCTCGTCTAGAATCGTCGAGCAAAAGTTTGTTCGAGACAAAGAATTTAGCTCTCAAAAAGCGGAAGAATGGTTTTATAGCGAAGGTCTGTGAGAGGATACTACTACTTAGAGTATACTACTGACTCAGATTAATTTATCAACGAGAAATTTACTTCATTCGTTATTTTCTTTCATCGCCTACCGTCGAAGTCGTCCAAAAACTCACAGTTGACATCTGCGAATGGAATGACTTCCACTTTAATGATCATTCAAAACAATTCTATTGAAAAGTTACTGTTTACCAATTGTAGGTTGTGTTAAAAACATAATCAGCTCGATCAATCCATCGATGATTCTGGCTGTATCGATGGTGAATGTCATTGTGCAACTAATCACATTAGTTATCTCGCAAATTACTGCAACCGCTCAATATGCGTTTCGAGAATGTGCCACTGTTGCTTGTGAGGATGATATCATTGTACCGGCATGGATTTCACCTTTCCCGTACAACTCATCTGAGCTACTGATTACGGTTCGTCGATTCGATTAGTCACAACAGCAACAACCTTCTAGATCAAGATCATACGATAAACAAAGAATCATTTCAGAAGAGTAGAGAACGAATTGCGAAACATCGCGATTTCCAACAGGAATCGTTATCCGACTCAGAGGACAACGCTAATCAAAAGGAACAGGAAAAGGAAACCTGAAAAGTGCCGAGTTTACGATTACATAAATCCCATCGAGATGTTCTTCTAATGAATCCGTATTTAACGAATGTATTATTATATTTTGGATTACTAAGCGTTATGCTTCGTTCATTTTGTTGTATTGTTATGATTTTTTTGCTATGTTCCACCGTTATCACTGTAACTGTTGTTGTTATTATTACTGTTGTTGAGCCCATCACTATTACTTTTCACAATCAGCATTATTGTTTTTGTCTGATATATACGTGCATTTAAATCTATTCGGATAATGTTCCGGTGACATTATGATCTGATATAAGGTGGTTTTTATACACTGTAAAACAGAATGAGTGAGGTCCAAAAGAAGTATATTTCAAGGTTTTATTGGCATGAAAGCATCGAGCTTTTAACTTAATCCATCCGTTCTAGACGGAAGCAGTATTTGAGGGGACTGAAACTGAGACGAAAAACGAGACCGAAAGGAGTGAGGAACTAAACAGAGTTCCCTATGACTGAAATTTCTTAAATGTACAAAAATTTATCCATTCAATCGATTCATCTAATTGTAAGCAAAATATGTGATAATCAATATCATTCAAAATAAGCTAATCGTCTTGTTGCAATAATTCTCTACAAGTGTTCTGATAGCTTTCATGTGATTTTTGTCATGCAACATCAAACTTCACCGGGTTACTTCGATATGTGAGTGGTGAGCCTGAATTTCGTGTGATATTATCATTTCTCATTCTCATTTCACTTACTAATTCGTCAACCAAAATTTCGTCTGCTCCTGTAGGATAATTCCGAAAAAGTTGGCAGTTGGCAATCCAAACAAACAGGTGATCGATCGTTCAGGAGTGTTTCATAGTTTTATCACATGTTTTCAAGAGAAATCCAATGAATTCAGCAAGCGGTAATCAAATTGAAAACTTAAACATATTCAATCATGAAATCCCAAATATCCTATCACATCAAAAACAATCGAGTCAAATTAGCTCCGATCGAAATGATTTAATCAATGAAAAATCAGTAAAGACTGAAAAAAACTCAACACATTTATGCGATAACAATACATCTCTTAAAGAATCCAAATACACGAACTGGCACAAAGGGGAAAAAACAAAACAAAAAACAAATACGAGAACATGCATTGAAAACATCTGAAAAGCTCTCAATGGAAGAGAATGTATGTCAAATTAATTATCTCGCCGCTATAAAAAACAAAACAATTCACAACACTTATAACCGTAATAATTAACAAATATCGCACTATTCACTACACATAAAATACACGCTTACAAGCAACTTACAAATATCAGTTGTTTTTTCAATAACGAACAGACTTTTGTTCGTAAAGAGAATCACGTCGAATGAAGAGAGGTAATGTGATCACTCAATCGTTTCACAGTGATTTGATCAATGAAACTGCTGAATTTTCGTTTTTCTTTCATCGTTAACAATATTTCTACCGTAATATACGCTTGCTCAAACAGTTTTTTTCCACTCCGAAAAAGTGAGTTCTTAGTGGAGGGAGCAAAGAAAGGCAAAGTTTCATACTAAGAATGTAAAAGATGGCACAATAATTGAACCTTCTTTCTCAATACGTTTTAAACACTCACTATCAGGATAAACACGCTTTCAAAATAACACTTANGAGTACTACGCACTTTATGGTATTAATGCACGGAATGTTTCAATCTAGAAAATATTCAACGAATTTAACCAATTCACGAGTTTCTATAACCCGAACAGACCAGCTAATCGTTCGCGAGAATGACCGCAATATAATTTTCTAATTGTGGTACCGAAGAATTCATCAGATGAAAAAATCGACAAGAAAACAACTAATGGAACAATTCTAAATGAAAGAAAATGATAAAATTACGCATGATCATCATCTAACGACGTCACTGAAATACTATCCGTTGAAAGTATCACTTCTGAATGTTTCTTATGGAATAAACTTAAGAATCTTCGAAACAATTCCAAAAAATCTACAGATTGTGCTAAAATAATCGCTATAAACACGAAGATGATCAAGAAACCAGCACGAGACCTGAAATATGAAACGTCGAAGGTCTTGCAATAAATAATTTGTAGAATATTCAAAACAATGCCGAGGTCAACTGAACATATTTCGAATGTTGTAAAAATGGAGCAAAATCGCCGACATGAATGAAAGCAGTATATATTTCGACTTGCAATCTAAGCCCATAGCTAATCAAAATCAAACAAACAAAAAAGAAATCAATCAAACAAATCACTAACCTTGTACCAGTGAATGGTTTTATGAAGTCCAATGCAAACGAAACAACAAACAGAATAAGTTTCAGCAATTCAACTAATGCATTCGCACCCACTAACATCACTGAACTGAGCACAGAACGCGGTCTCGTTTCAATCCACTCTCGAACGTACTCTTCCAATCTTATCATCTGTATTATACCCACTTCACTCAATTATCACTGTCATAACAAACGACTGATATAATCATTGATGAATTTAATGACAAAACTTTGTTACTGACGAAATCCAATCATTCTAAATGATCTTATCATTACACTAATTCGGAATCATCTTCAAAGCATTTTGACAGACTAATCTTTATCAAAATCAACAACCAAATAAACAGAAGTTGCACGAAAATTGACTAAAACAAGAACAATTGAACGAAGTAATCGACGGAAAGTTAAAACAATAAAGAACATACGCTATTTTGTGTACTTTCAATACTTTCTTCAATTGAACGGAATCGATCACAGTAATGATAATCCATACGAGTCCCGATTGTATTCAAATCTGATTTCAGCGTAGTCACCTCTGCTTGGTGTAATTCTATTGTCTCATTGAGAATCTCTTCCAGCTTCTAAGAAGACCTTTGTTATACGTTTTTTTCTACTCAATATTTGAAAATCATATTTGACGGACAAATAACAAACACTTTCGGATGCCATAAAAACAACTGCATGAATAATTCACGTGTTCACTTACTAATACAGTACAAGAAGCATTCACCACAACTGCCAAAATTCCAACAAAGTTTTAAAAAAACTGATCACTGAATGTGAAAAAAAGAAAGGAACCAAAATGAAAAATCGGGGATTTCACGTGAAGAAAAAACGATCAAATAGAAAAATGACAACAATTATCAAAAAACGATAACGCACTATTATCAAATGATAACGGTTGTTATAAATGATAATTCTTATCAAAATGATAACAGTTCAACTATCAAATTGGACTGTTTAACAAAAACTGATTGACGTAGAATGCAAAGACTCAAGTACATTATTGAAAGATTAACCTGAACTTTAATTCGTTCCTCGTGTAATTCACTATTGTAGAATTTGAACTCGGACTGCATTTGATTCTATAAAAATACATTACAGATAGACGACTGGACTTCACAACATAAAAATCTCACAGTCAAACGTTATTGAAAAAGCTAGTGAAAAAAACAAACTTCTAAGGTTCCAAAACTCAAAAACTTTAATAAATTTGAAAAGGACACGGAGAACTGTTCACGAGAAAAACAAAAATGAGAAAAACGATATAATTGTTTGATGCCGATGAACGGAATGGTTTCAGGGTTGTTAGTTATGGGTGAAGAGACATATAACGCACCTGAACTTTGTTGATTTGATCAAGAAGTTGTTGATTCTGTTGTTTCAGTTCCCGAATCTCATCTTTCAGTTCTGTGATACCTTCTAATGAAACCGATGGACTCGGTGATTTACCCTCAGAAACACCCGTAGACTGCAGGGTAAAATCAATCGGCATCGCAGGCACCGTTTCAGTACGAAGACGTAACTTACTTTTATCCGATAGATCTTGTTGTTGACACTGATTCGTTGAATAAGAGCGTAGCCTGAATTTGTTCGATACGGACATTAAAAAAATAACTGTATGTGTGAAAAAAAGGTATGAACCGAAATCAGCAAACACACCGATCGTCATTGGAAATAATATTCGGATAGAACGTGGAGTGACCAACACTAGCACCTTCATTCTCAACACTATCCGGAATGTTATCTGCCGAACCGAATGTATTCTTTATCATATGCGCTATTCCAAGTGGTGCCGAAATTACCGAACCGGTCACTTCGCGCAGCAGTGGACCCGTTTTACTGCAAAACCTTTCAATAATTCTTGCTAGCCTTTTCTCAGTTCATTGGCTGTGCATGCTCGACACGATTGTAGTATCAATAATTTTTGTCACGTTTTATGAAATGAAGCAAATGTAAAACAAATCGTACCGAATGTTACTGAGAACCGCACTCCTTGGTGATGGCTCCGAATTCACACCCATACTAAGTTCAAGTAATCTTGCTTGAAATTGCTCCAGTTTTTTCTGAATTATCAATCAAATACAAAAAGGTAGAACTTGCTCCAGTTGAAGCAGATTTATTTGCCAATTATACATGACCAGAAAATTCATTTCACTATCATTTGAAAACTTACTTTAAGGACTACAACAAGACTCGTTCATTTGAATAGATTTTGAGGACAGAATAAAAACCATTTCGCAAGTACAATCCAATTAAATTAATATTGAAAACCTGAAGACTCTCGGTTTCTTGGGTATGTTTTTTGTTTTTCTTCTCAAAATGCTGCCGAACTCGTGCAATTTGAGGATTTTCATTACCACCGGCCATATTATTCGTCACCGATAAAAAGTCATCGACATCAGCTGAAATCAGTGAATTTCAGATGAGTCAGACAAACTCAATCGCAAAAAAAGGCCACTTATTGATGACGAAGAATAAAATCAGTAAACAGGCGTTCATTTTGCTCATTTCATCAGCAACATTACAAGTAAATTCAACTGGAAAAAGCCAAAAATAACCTTCTCTAGCGAGTGAGATGCGCGTTAACTTCTCTTTAATTTGTTCAATCTTGCGTTCAATACGAGCCCTCTCATCACCAATATCTTCATATCCACTGAATGAACCACCCCCATCTGAGGAACGCACACTTCCACCGCGAATCTGGTTGGAACTTTCTGACTGAAATATTTCTGAATTATCACTTTCTATTAATAAGGAAATCAATTGATCATTAATTATTGGCTTTTAAATAAAGGATTCGAAGTGGATTGAACATCTTCAGCAGGACAATTCAGTGCATTACCTGTATGATAAATGAGAAAACCATACTAGCCAATGAATCACAGGAAGGAAACAAACACAAAACATGAACGAGTTCAGTAAATCATTATATACTGTGATGATCATTATGATGACTCTTATCGCTTCCATATCAAACGTCAATCAACTGTTTTTTAGTGAGCAAAAATGGAAAGCAATCAATTAAAAACACTTATCGTCTGCAAAATTATTGCATGATAAGCATGTCAAACACTAACCTCATTTAATAACGATGGCTCATGAATATGTTGAAAAGGAAGTTTACTCATTGGGTTCAATGACATTCTAATTAATAATACACATCGAATTAGTATGAACAGTCAATAAAAATCACAACAATCACAAGTATTTCATTGAGTTAACTAAAATTGAATCTTCGTAATAAGCGTTCACGAGATACGTTCATCGCACTAAGTCATTCTTTAACTCCTGAAAATATTCATTACATTTTCACCACAACGTTTGTGAATCATCATTCGTCAGAAAAAATAAAATCACGATTATCATAAAACGTTACAATCTCGATTTTCAAGAGCACATAAGCAACAACAGTCGAGGGCAGAGACTTTTGAAAATCAGTTCGACGCGTCCTCTCATATTCGCTCGATACATAGTACAAGGCTTATTAGATGTGCGCTTTTCGTTACCAATAGAAACTTGAACAAAAAAAGGAATCACTGCAACCATGAAGATATGGTAATCCTGCATTATAGGTCAAGGAAAAAGGGGGTGTGGTCTAACACACACAGAACACGCCTCAGCCATCGCACGCATGAAGACATTCTGCCACAGCTACATCCGCTTAGGTACAACTGCTTTCTGGAACAATGAGAAGTATTTCAATTGAAATTAACTCAGTTTGAGTAAATAAGCATGCTTGCAACTAATTGTGATCCATGCAACGA